TCCAAAATGTTCAGACGAATATTTAAGTTCTTAGTGCAAAAGTTGAAGAATTTAGTTCCATTAGTTTCCCAGATAAACGAATTTTTGCATTTAATTAATATGGGAGTTGCCGCTCCCCTCATGGGTAGTCCGCCAATTTATTTCCCAAAATGTTAACATGGATGTTAAAGTTATTTGTGCAAAATTTTAAGATTCTAACTGTAATTGTTTCTAAGATAAACGAATTTTTGTTTTTTATTTATATGGGAGGTGCCACGCCCCCTAATGCTAGTCCGCCTACTTTTTGTCCTAAATAATCATATTGACACTAAGGTGGCTCCGACAAAATTTGAGGACTCTAACTGTTATATTATCTCAAATATACGGATTTAATATTTTCTAATATGGGCGTGGCACCACTCGCCCACTTGAAATTTCAAAATAAAAAATAGCCTATTACCTATTCCAGACATACGGGAATACGCTGTGAAAATTTCAAGAAAATCGGTTCAGCAGTTTTGTAGTCTATAACGTTCAAACATACAAACAAACACACATTCATTTTTATATATATAGATAGATATAGATTCGTATTTGTTTCCCCTTAATATTTAAAAAAAAAAACTAAGAAATTCAATTCAAAATTTTCAATTATATTTTTAAATAAAGTGTTTTTTTCACATTGACAATTACATCAATAAATTTTTAAAACACATTCCATTCACAACTTAAGCTACTGGAATAGCTTCCGAGGTTACGGATGGCACGACAGTAGTCGATGACACTTCAACAGCTGATGTTGATGAACTACTAGCTACTGGAGCAGCTGTGGTACTGGGAGGAGCAACAGTTGGAGGATGTTGCCAACCAAATTGATTACGAATAAAAGTATCCAAGGCAGTGGTATCAATGCCATTAGCCTGCAGAGCAGCAATAACACGTTGAGCTTCCGGCAAGGCAGTAACACGATCATAAACAGATTTCAAGCTCTTCAAACGTTGGACAAACTGAGCGAGTATGCCATTTTGAGCCACCTTCATTTGAACATGAGTACGAATCATATCCTCGGGGTAGTAAAGAAGGAATTCATTAACAAATCCTTGCCAACCGAACACGGTATTAGACCAGAAGGGAGTGCGATTGATGATGCTTAAAAATTCTTCGGATTCTTCCAATTGTATCTCACCTCCAGACAACATAATTTGATTACGCACCCAGGTGATAAAACGCATTACCTCAGGTTGGGCACGGAAACGCATTTGTGTAATGAAGGCATCATTAGAGTTGATAATGCGTACAAAAGCCTGGAATTGTTCATCATTGAGAAGATAGCGAGTAGCCAAACGTCTTATGGGCACCAAAGGTATCATGCGCGCAATTTCATCTAAATCCTGAGCCAAAGTCGGAAGTGGTGGTGGTGTGGGTACAACAACAGCTCCATTATGTGGAGGCACCATGGCCATACTACCGCCCAAGGCACAAATGCCTATCAATCCCAAAATAGTGATGAATTTCATTATGCTGACTCCGTAACTTAAGTGAGTTCAAATCGTTCGTTTTAATTTCGTTATAAAGAATGTTTATACTTCTTCAAGATTTCTACAGTTTTATATAGTTTTTGCAAGATCTTATCTAAAAAAAGTAGATTTATTATCTAGTTATCAATTAAATGCAGAACTGTTATTTATCATAATTTATTGTACCTTTCCCCTCTACTATAACCTTCAAGAATCTGTTTTGTCTTTTTATTTGCAAAATATTTTACTTTAAATCCTAAAATTACTCGAGTTACGCGATTGTAAATAACATTATTTACGAGTGTTTATTTCAAATATTTTATTTGAATATGATTCATCAACAGATCAGTTTATCTTGGATTGTGAGATTTAATTTTGCAAAATTTGTCGCAGTCTAGCATATTTACGATAGTGTCAACTTCTGAACAAAATCTGACGAGATAAAAAGAATATCAACACGGTTAGCGAAAAGACAATTAACAATGAATTTGTTTTTATATTTATTCACACATTGATATTGAGAATTTATAACTCTGTACGTTAGAACTGTTAAAATAAAATAAATTTAATAGAAATTATATAAAACGAATTTAATACACCCTACTCTAGACTAGATTAATTATAATTTTATATTTAAAATTTTTTTTTAATATTTATCTTTTTCAAGATTTTTGTTTAAATTTCTTCTTTTAAAGAATACTTTAGAAAAATGTTCCTTTTATAGAGACTTTTCGACATTTTTTTTTTTCTTTTAAAGAAAATTTTCAAGAAATTTTCTCTTTTATAGAAAAATTTTATAAATTTTCTCTTTTATAGACAAATTTTATAAATATTCTCTTTTAAAAAAAATTTTAACATACATTTTCTTTTATATGAGATTTTTAATAATTTTATTTCTTTCTATAGAAAATTTTACAAAATTTATTTTTTTTATAAAACTTTTCTCTTTTATAGAAAAATTTCTCTTTTTATTACAGAAACGTTTCAAAAGATTTCTCTTTTTTAAAGAAAATTTTACAAAATTTCTCTTTTTTATAGAAAATTTTACAAAATTCTCTTTTTTAAAGAAAATTTTACAAAATTTCTCTTTTTTTATAAAAAAAACTCTTCATTCTTTCATAGAGAATTTATATTTTTTAAAGAAAAGTTTCACAAAAATTATCTTTTTTATAGAAAATTTTCAAAAAAAACTTTTTTTTAGAGAAAATGTTAAAAAATTTCTCTTTTTTATATAGAAAATTTTACAAAACTTCTCTTTTTTAGAAAATTTTTCTCGAAAATTTGTCTCTTTTATAGAAAATATTTCAAATTTTTTCTCTTTTATATAAAATTTTACAAAATTTCTCTTTTTTATAGAAAATGTTACATTTCTCTTTTTTAGGAAATTTTTATCGAAAATTGGTTTCTTTTATAGAAAATATTTCAAAATTTATCCTTTTTATAGAAAATTTCACTCTTCTTTGTAGAAAATTTCACTCTTTTTTTATAGAAAATTTCATTCTTTTTTTATAGAAAAATTTCCCTTTTTTATGGAAATTTTAACAAAATTTCTCTTTTTTAAAAAATTTTCTAGAAAATTTGTCCCTTTTATAGAAATATATTTCAAAATTTATCCTTTTTATAGAAAATTTTACAAAATTTATCTTTTTATAGAAAAATTTCCCTTTTTTATAGAAATTTTAATAAAATTTTTTTTTTTTAAACAAAATTCTAGAAAATTCTTCTCTTTTATAGAAAATATTTTAAAAATTCTCCTTTTTATAAAAGTTTTTACAAAAGATTTCTTTCTTATAGAAAATTTTACAAAAATTCTCCTTTTTATAGAAAAACTTCAAAAGATTTTTCTTTTATAAAATATTTAAAAAAAAATCTCTTTTTTATATAAAATTTTTCTCTTTATATAAAAAAATTTTACAAAAATTTATCTTTTTTTTATAGAAAATTTTCAAACAAATATTCTCTTTTTATAGAAAAAACATTTTTTAAATTTTCTCTTTTATAGAAAATTTTAACATATTTTCTTTTATATGAGATTTTTAATAATTTTATTTCTTTTTATAGAAAATTTTACAAAATTTATTTTTTTTATAAAACGTTTCTCTTTTATAGAAAAATTTCCACAAAATTTCTCTTTTTTTGATAGAAACATTTCAAAAGATTTCTCTTTTTTTAAGAAAATTTTACAAAATTTTTCTTTTTTATAGAAAATTTTACAAAATTTCTCTTTTTTATAAAAAAAATCTCTTTTCATTCTTTTATAGAGAATTTATATTTTTTATAGAAAATTTCACAAAAATTATCTTTTTTTATAGAAAATTTTCAAAATTCTCTTTTTTATAAAAAATTTTATAAAACTTCTCTTTTTTAGAAAATTTTTCTCGAAAATTTGTCTCTTTTATAGAAAATATTTCAAATTTTTTCTCTTTCATATAAAATTTTACAAAATTTCTCTTTTTTATAGAAAATCTTACAAAATTTCTCTTTTTTAGGAAATTTTTATTGAAAATTGATTTCTTTTATAGAAAATATTTATTCTTTTTATAGAAAATTTCACTCTTCTTTATAGAAAATTTCACTCTTTTTTATAAAAAAATTTCCCTTTTTTATGGAAATTTTAACAAAATTTTTCTTTTTTAAAAAATGTTCTAGAAAATTTGTCTCTTTTATAGAAAATATTTCAAATTTTTTCTCTTTTTTACAAAATTTCTCTTTTTTATAGAAATATTCTCTAGAAATTTCTCTTTTTTAAAAAATTTTCTATAAAATTCTTTTCTTTTATAGAAAATATTTCAAAATTTCTTCTTTTTATAAAAGATTTTACAAAATTTTTCTTTATAGAACAATTTCAAAAGATTTTTCTTTTATAGAATATTTTAAAAAATTCTCTTTTTGATATAAAATTTTTCTCTTTTTTATTTAAAAAAAATTTACAAAAATTTCTCTTTTTTTATAAAAAATTTTCCGAAAAAAAATTCTCTTTTTTATAAATTTTCTAAAGAAAATATTTCAAAATTTTTCCTTTTTACATAAAATTTTACAAAATTTCTCTTTTTTCTAGAAAATTTTACAAAATTTTTCTTTTTTTGAAAAATTTTCGTTAACTTGTTTCTTTTATTAATTTTTTTTTAATTTCTTATTATAGAAAATTTTACAAAACTTCTCTTTATAGAGAAAATTTTTTAATAAATTTTCTTTTTAAGGAAATTCGACAAATTCTCCTACTTTTGAGAAATTATCGATAATTTCTCTATAAAATATGTCAATAAATTCTCTATTTTATACAAAGTTTTCGAAAGATTTCCTCTTATAGAAGTTCTCCTCTTTTATAGAAATTGTCAATAAATTCTCTCTTTTTAAAGAAAATCTTCAATTTATAATATTTTATATGATTTTTTAAACAAATTCTGTTTTTATAAACAATTTATGAAAAATGCATATAAAAATTTCGACAATTCCTCTTTCTCTATTTATAATGTTCGTAAAACACGTATTTAACAATATTAGTATGTTTTTAATATAACTTTTATTACATATGTCTATTAAACATTACACATATGTTTCTTTTATGTATTTTTTTTTTAACATAATTAAAATTCTTCTAAAATCTACAATTAAAATAGAACTCAACTATAACTACTTGAAGAAAATATTGCCGAAAGAGCAAACAACAGCACGCTGCTATTTTCTTTCTTTTTAAAATTTGAAATTTCCCAATTTATCGGAAAGATTTTTTGTATTAGGTGCTGGTTTTTTGGTGGGTTTTAATGGTTTCGAGGTAGAGGCTTGAGGTTTCTTAACAACTAAATCCTTGTGTAAATCACGTAGATTGGCATCAACTTTTTCTTGTTTCTTAGTGACGGCTTCTTTGATCTGCAGGAAGTTAAAAATATTAAAAAAAAGAGATAATTTAATCGGATATTTTAAGGAATAATAAATCTTACCTTTTTAAGTTTTCCCTGTACTTCTTTGGGTTTCTTCTTTTGTTTGACATCAGATACTTTAAAAAGATTTTTATTTTTCTTAGATTTGTTAATGGAACTGGTGGCAGCAGCTCCAGGTTTATTGCCACCATTAGTTTTCTGTTTAGACCTGCGACCCATTATTGTAATACCGAAGAAACTGAAAGAAAAAAAAAGTATAAATGTTTTTCCAAAATTCCTCCTTCTCTGTAGAAATTGTTCGAAAATTTTTCTTTTTCTATAAAAATTTTTCGAAAATTTCGCTTTTTCTATAATTTTTGCAAAACATTTTTTATAGAAATTTTTCAAAAAATACTATTCTTTTTAGATAATTTTCTAAAACATCTCCCTTTTTACATAATTTTATCATAATCACATTTTCCCCAATAACAGTAGAATTTATATAACATATGTAATTTATTTTATTAAATTATTAAAAAATAATTACAATTTGTGCAGCAGCTTTAAAACTAAGAACATTTAACTTTACATTTTGAACTTTCCAACATTTCGTCTTCGTCTACTTCAGCTTTACGTTTAATACCCTCCTTATCGCTATTAGCCACACTACCAGCAATTGGTTGCTTTAAAATCTCTTCGGTAAGATAAAACGATACACGATACATATCTTTGTTGGGTGCCACATTGCGTACAAAATATACTCCTTCTAAATTGTCCTTTAATTTCAGCTGTAAATTTTCTTCCACTAATTGCAAAACCAATTCTTTGGTATTAGTACCCTTGGCAAATGAATAAACATGTACCAAAGGAAAATTTACATTTTCCTGGCTAAAATCTATTGAGGTCTCTTTAGCAAATAGACCTCTAAAGGCAGATAGAAATTCTACAGCCATGGCGGGAAGATTCATGGTAATGTGTATTTTGTAATTGTTAGCATTTGGTTGTTGCCATCTTTTAAGCAGATCTTCACGTAATTCATTAAGTATAAAATCTCGTCCATCTTTGTTAAAGACCTGAGCTTGTGCTAAACATTTGTTACGTTTCATATTGTGCTGCAACCATTTATAGCTTTCGGGGTTTAAGTCATTGGCCAAGACCTGGCATTGTTTTTTGGCTGCAGGCACTGCAAATGGTCCTACACCAGCAAAGACATCATACAAAACATCTTGGGGTTTAAGTAATTGAACAATTCTTTCATGTTCTGTTGATAAACGGGGATTCCAATAGACTTTTGAGAAATCAAATTCAAAGAAAACACCATTTTCTTTAGTTTCCACTTGATAGACAGCCTCACCACACAACAAATCCAGCTGGAAGTTACGATAGGTGTTATCAATAGAGGCCGCTTTGTTCACCACAGTTTTACAACCCACCACTTTTTGTAACAGCACTTGGCCTATTAGATCCTTATAGGGCATTAAATGGTCTCTCAAATTCAAATGCACAATATGACCTATTCTGGAATACGAAGTTAAACCTTCTTCATTTGCCGGCAAAACAGATTTCATTATCTCATCTGCTCGCCAATTGTCATAGCTTAAGTTTAATTCCGTTAAGGCATAATTTTCCTCTTTAATGTCATGTTTTTCCAATTCCTGAGTGGGTAAATCCTGCCAGCTCTTTACTGGCTGGGGATGTAATAAAATTTCTCTACCCTCTTGCTCTTGGTATTTCAATGGTTTCACCGGTTTCAATTTTTCCATTTTCAATAGTAATTTTTTCACTAGCGGCAATACACGTTGGGATTTTTCTTCGGGTACCCATAAACGTGGAACTTGTATGGTTTTATTAAATTTTTCTATTGCCAACACCGTCATACCTCTTACTTCTGAGGGTGGCTTTAATAAATCACAATCCATGTTTTTCCAATAATGTCGGTATCTTAAGGTTGTTGTTGCTGGTTGTGTTATTGGAAATTTGTTAAACTTTAATAAAACTCCAATTTGTATGCTTGAGGAAACTTTTCCGTGGAGCATCAAGTGTTTTTTTTTTTTTTTGAGCAAATATTTCACAATCACAGAAAAACGTGGCGCTTGTTCTTCTTGTTATAAGATACTTTTAATTAATGTTTTAATTTATAAAGTTTTTACAAATTGGGTTTTTTGTTTATATATTTGTTTTATTTTACTTTAGTTTTAAAGATATTTTAGAATTTTTTAAAATAAATTTATATTTTTTGCTTAAATTCTATTAGAAATTACCTCTTTACTTCTCCTCCACACCGCACTGAAAACAAAACACAGCGTTGTATTTAATGTTACGAATTGAACACATGTAGTAGTTTTGTTTGATTACAATTGTTACCGTTGGCGATAAGCGACGGTCTCACAAGAAGGATTTTTGTTTGAAAAGGAAAAAAATATTGTAGAATTCAAAGTAAATTAATATTGGACATAATGGATCTAAAGATTAGAGTGTGAGAAGTCACCAAAAATAAGAATTCGGAATTCGACGAAATAGAATCAACACAGAATGGGACAAGATTATGGAAATTTTTTAAATTGTTCCAAGATTTCCTTTTTATAGAACTTTCGAGAAATATTTATAAGTAAAAAATTCAAATCTTTTTAAAATTATCTGCATTATCCACATTTAGCCACAATTCCCATAACCTGACAAGGAACCTAATCAAATATTATTCCAATATTCTTACACCAAACAAAATCTCCCAAGAAATCCCATTAATATAGAACATATTTTTAAGAATATGCAATTCAATTTATTTCATTAAAAACTTTTATTAAAACATCAAAATAATACTAATTAATGTAGAAAATTATATTTAACCCAATTTAGGTATACAAAAATTTTCCATATTTACGAGCTGAAGACCCACTACTAAATTGTCGATACCCGACATCTTTTCCACACAATGTTCATAGAAATCGCAATGATCCTCATGCATGCGATCCGCAAAACGTTTAAAGTGCTGTACGTACATGATCTGCTCCGCAGTATCTGTTCCAGATTCAGTTTTTTCCTCTAGTTTTATAGATAACTCAATCACTTTTCGAAATAACACCATCAGAAGCAAATCAAATTCCCAGAACTTTTTCCATAATTTTTGTAATGAAAATAATACCAACGACATTGGTTGTTTGCTTTTCATAATATCGATGAATTCGTTCATGACAGCTTCTGTTTCTTTAATGGCATCCTGGAATTCCTTGTGCAATTTGCGAATATTTGCCATTATTAAAGTTCTTATTGGATATAATCGTACAAAAAATAGCTTGATTCTTGAAATTATTTGTTAAAACGCCAATGTGAAACTGAAGAAAACCACTATTTAGAAAAGGATTTTTATATGACGTTTGACACTAAATGCCGTTATCACTTTACCCTGTATTTGCAGGAAGGATTTTTTTCATTTAACACGGGGAAATACATTTTTTACCCATTTGTGTAGTCTTGACCATTTGCAGGGTTGCATTTTTATCTTAAATACTATTAAATATTAGGGTTCTATAGTTGAAACGAAAAGTCGACTTTTCGACTTTTTGCATTTAGTTAAAAGTCGACTTATCGACCTTTCGACTTTTTCCATTTTATGAAAAGTCGATTTTTCGACTTTTCGACCTTTTTCATTTATTTAAAAGTCGACTTTTAGACTTTTCGACTTTTAGTATTTTATAAATGGTCGACTTTTCGACTTTTTCCGACTTTTCGACTTTTTCCGACTTTTTCCGACTTTTTTCGACTTTTTTCAACTTTTCGACTTTTCGATTTTTTACGACTTTTTGACTATTTTCGACTTTTTTCGAGTTTTTCCGACTATTTTAGAGTTTTTGACTTCTTTACCACTTTTTTAAAATTTTCGACTATTTTCGACTTTTTCCGACTTTTCGACTTTTTTCGACTTTTCGACTTTCTTCGACTTTCTTCGACTTTTTTCGACTTATCGACTTTTCGACTATTTTCGACTTTTTTTTACAAAGTCGACTTTTCGACTTTTTTCATAGACGATAGTCGAGTTATCGACTTTTTTGGAACAAAATAGTCGACTTCGACTTTTCGACTTTTTTCGACAAAAAGTCGATTGTTCGATTATTCGAAAGTCGATTTATAGAACCCTATTAAATATCAAAAAAAAAATGTACTAAAAATTTTCTAGAAACGTATAATTTAGCGCACATTTTCTTGAAAAAAATTTTCGAAATTGTTCTATAAAGAAATTTTTGCGCAATGGTCTTATAAAATAAAATTTTTCAAAAATTTTCTATAAAAAGAAAACTTCTAGAAATGGAATTAAAGAAATAAATTTCTAGAAATGGATTGTACCTACACAGAATATTATTTTAATGTATTTATTTCAGTTTTTTGCAAAAACATTAACGTACATATGTATAGAAATCAAAATAGATTTTGTCCCAATTTATGTTTTATACAATTTTCAATTTTTTGATAGAGAAGTGCCATTGCAATGTCCTGGATACCACTCATTTTTTTCGAACTACGTGCGTAATGTTCGCTATGCTCTTTATCCATGCGTTTCACAAATTTGTTAATGTCATATACACGCATATAATCCTCTAGGGTATCTGTTCCAGTATTGCATCTTTCGTCTAGCATTATATTTAACTCGATCGCTTTTTGACATAACTTCAGTAAGACCAAGTCTAATTTGCATCTTTTGCCCATTAACTCATATCCCGAAAGAAAAATTTGTGTATCGGGTTTGTTGCTTTTTATATTATCGAGAAATTCGTCCATTGAAGCATCTGATTTTTTGAGAGCATCTTTAAATTCATCGTGTAATTTACGAATATTTGCCATATTAATAGCTCTTGTTCCAGAAAATAGCGAAAAATTATTTGTACCGCTTTTAATTGACAAATGACGAAGGCTTCATGAAGTGAATTGAAAAAAAAAAATATGGTGGATTTTTTCTGCAACTTTTTTATCCGACATTAAATACGGGTTTTTGTTTACCCTGTATTTGATATTAGGAAATTTGATCTGTAAAACGGGAAATTTAAATCAAAAGAATACTTTTCCGACATTTTGAATTTTTTTCGACTTTTGTTTAAATTAGGGTTCTATAAATCGACTTTCGAATAATCGAACAAAAAAAATCGAAAAGTCGAAGTCGACTATTTTGTTCCAAAAAAGTCGATAACTCGACTATCGTCTATGAAAAAAGTCGAAAAGTCGACTTTGTAAATAAAAATAGAAAAGTCAAAAAATCGGAAAGTCGAAAAAAGTCGAAAAGTCGAAAAATCGACTTTTCATAAAATGGAAAAAGTCGAAAAGTCGACTTTTAACTAAATGCAAAAAGTCGAAAAGTCGACTTTTCGTTTCAACTATAGAATCCTAGTTTAAATACGATTTTTACATAATAGTTGTGTTTTGTTGCTAACGTTCAAAGGCAATTTCATATAAATTTAAAATTTATAAACGTTAGGAGTTAACGTGTAAAATTATACAAGTTAATTTTAACGTCGATAAAAGTGCTACCAATTCAAAAATAAAAATACAAATATTAATGTGTTTATGTCAAACAATAAAAAAATATTTTAAAATAAAATTTAAATCAAAAAAAAATATCAAATAAAAAAACCTTTTTTAAGAAAATGTAAATAATTTCAAGATTTAGCAGATTTCTTCTGTGGAGTGATGCCAAGTCAGGTAATGTTCGTTTTGTTGCTAACTTTAAGCGTTAACACTCATTGATAGCAACAAAACACAACTAATCTTAATTTGTACATAAAAAATTTTAAGCCAACAAATTCTCCCAAGAGCTCCCATTAACATAAATAATTGATTCATACCCTGCAAAAATTGTAGGAAAAACTTACTCCATTTAACATTGTGATGTCCTTCGTATGGTCCTCGCCTTACCATCCATGAATTGCATCAGAGTAATCCCAAAACTACTCCCTTTCTAAAATTAATATGAGCACATGATCCGCAACATGGTCCCATGTAACGCACGCTAAGGACCATATTATTTAAAAAAGTAAACATGATCCATTACATAAGACTAATAAACGGATCATACTCCAATAATGTTTACAGGGAGAAGTTTTTGGACTACCTAAAATCAACATGTAGGTACTCCAATAATTTTGCAGGGTATAAGAAAAATAAGGCAGGTTTTCCAGAACAGTTCAATTTATTTCATTAAAATAACTTCCAAATTTTGCCACAACTAAATCTTGAACTACCGCCATTCTCCATTTATTACTTGCCAAAAATTTGCAATGTTACTAGACACAGTAGTCAATAGACTAGTCAATATATTAGTCCATGGATTGGTCCAGAGTAGACAATAGAACTAGTACATAGAGTAGTCAAAGTACTAATCATGGCACATAAAGTCCTTTTAATATTTTAAGAACTTTTCCAATTAGTTTATGGTGTACCCAAGAGACTAGCTCATAGACTAGCCAATTGACTTTAAAATAGACTAGTCTATGGCCTTTTTCATAGAGTAATCTATGGACTAGTTTATAGAGTAATCAATAGTGTAGGTTCATCGACTATCCAATAGTCTAGTTCATAGACTAGCCAATAGATTAATCTATGGACTTTTCCATAGAGTAATCAACAGACTAATCCTTTGACTACTAGACAGACTAGTCCATAGACCAGGTAGTTAATATGAAAATTTTATTGAAAATATTCGAAAAAAATTATATTTTGAAAGAAAATATAGGTCCAGAATTCTATCGCCTGACATAAAACCTAGTCAATTTTATAACAACAAATAGGTATTCGCAAGAAATCTGATTAATCCAATTTATTTCATTATTAATCATTAATACATTAAAATAACAAAGAATTCAAAGATATCTGGAAAATAAAAATCAGCTGCCTTGATGATTTCAGCTTACATGGTGAATCCTAATTTTGGTTTTAAAAAATTTTTCATTTTTAACGATTGTATTCCCACTACTAAGTTGCCAATTTCCGACATCTTTCGTACACAATGTTCATAGAATTCGGTATGATCATCATGCATGCGTTTCGCAAAACATTTGAAGTTATGCACATACATGAACTGCTCTGCAGTAACTCTTCCAGATTTAGTTTTTTTCTCCAGTTTTACAGTTAACTCAATCACTTTGCGAAATAACACCATTAATATCAGATCAAATTCCCAGAATTTTTTCCACAATTTTTGTCCCGAAAGAAAAATTAGTGTTTTTGGTTTTTTGCTTTTAATAGTATCGAGGAATTCGTTCATGCTAGC